TCATGGATTTATTTTCAAATAAGCTCAAAAAATGCTTTGATCTTTTAACAGATCCATATATTTAAGCCTTGAATAACATATAAATCGTACAGGCATCGAAACCGGTGTAAACTTTAATGTATTTTGTTATGTGAAGATTATTTCCTATTGCCTATTCGAGTGTCCTATTTCTCTTTCTTAATCATCATACTCGTTACCATAAAAAACTCAATTAAATGCTGTATGTATTTGCTGGATTCAGCCACCTGTCGCATTTGACACTTTTGCAGTTGCCAAAAATATTTTGTCTTAATAATTAAGCCCACTCGAAGACTCGAACACCCGCCTTAATTGCCAAATAAAATTTAAGCCGAACACAGCAGGTGATTAAGCAAATTATCATTTGACAGAACAAGATAGAGACCAATACCTCCACACACACACACACACACACACACAAATCTGATCTCAGCAAAAGCAGATCTTGAATAGATGTTGCAACGCGGTAGATAGAGCAACCTGCAACGGCGTGGCGTGGTGTGGTGTGGCGAGGCGGCTTGCGAACGACATCAATTAGCGGCATTTTAAGTGCGTTCCACATTTGAAAAAAGCTGAAAAGAGCAAAGGAAAATGCGTCGCGAAACGCCTCGAGTCAATCAATTTTGCTGCTGTGTACAGGAGGCCTGGACTCGATCTCGAGACAGACTCCACTCCAGATTGCGTGGCCAGATTGGAAGCCATTTGGAAAGGCCGACGCAGATCGAGGCGGCGTGGTGCGGTGCGGCAACTTACGCAAATTTTGTTAGCCACAGATCCCGCAGCTCCCCTAAGGCTTGAATGTCCAAGCCACTAACCGCCACTAACCGCCGCCTCATCAGAGGGAGATACCCAGCGACACACCCTAATCTGGCTCTGGCTCTGCCTCTGCCTCGGACTCTAACTCGGACTTGGACTCTGGGACTGCGACTGCGACTTCGATTTGAGTCTGCTGTCTGGAGTTTTCAAGATTTTTAATTGAAATCTGCAATGGTCTGACTCTTTGGCTGCCAACTAGTTTACGCATTTGAAAGTGCTTGCTGGCTGCTGCGCGGGCCTTTTGCCTGGTAATTAAAAACTTGTCGTTCGATTTGATAACTTTTTTTTCGAATTCTCTAGAAACATGCGAGTATAGAGGGTACGATGACTTGAGTGGGATAATGGTTGGATGGATAGGGGAAATGATTTTCTTTATTATGTATGTCTATAAAGAGTTATTTTTCTTTGAAAACAATGGTTCTTTATGCTATCAAATCTACTTTTATTTGATGTATAAGATATAATAAATGACCTTCTGTCTGCTAGGGGTATCTTATTTTTATTGGGCACATATTCTTCACTTAAACAGTGATTAATGTACATATGATTCCGATGAAATTTACGAATAGATTTATGTTCAGTACATCGGTTATGCAACTAGCATTGGAGATCTCTTTTTTAGACAGACTTTCCAGCCCGAAATATTTGTACTATAGTTACGGAATTTTCATGTTAGACTAACACTTTGATCTCACCATATTTCTGCTTGACCAACATTATTATTCATAGTGTAAATCACTTTTCGAATAATTTGGAAAATTTTGGTTTTTTGCGGGCATTGCCCTCTTGATATTATATTTGATTGTAGGTGCATGCTAAATGACTCTGATTCAATTTCTAGAGGTTCATATTTTAAGTTTATTTGACAGAACGCTAATTCAACATTTTTAAGATGCTAATTTAGCAAAATGAATTCTTATTCTTATTTTTAAGGTACACTTTGTTGTACTTTTTGTTGTGTTTGATGGGCTTTCCCTTGATAGATGAATGATATTTTTCGGGAAATTTATATTCTTTAATCAAATACAAACTGTAATTGCTAGTCACCCCCCCAATCAATTTCATGCAAGTTAGCTATCAATCAGGAATCGTTAACTTCGTTAACTTGTAAGAGTATTCCACCTTCAATCAAGTCCAAACACCATTCCTTTCACATTGCGTTTCTTAGGCGGTCAACGAGGCGCATACGCAACATTTGTCACGAAACGTCCAGTGGGGGAGTGGGGAGACAACCTCATTTTCCCAGTACGAGTCCAAGTCCGAGTACGAGTCCGAGTCCGAGGAGGATGTGCAGCTGAGTGATTAATGTATGTATTTGTGGAGGGGAGGTAGTGTGTAATGCATTCAGCATTCAGCAGCTTAGTAACTTTGTTAGCTCCGCATTCGTGGCCCTGTTCCCCCATCATCGATGGAGATTTTAAGTAGCAGTGATGCGATAGCAAATGATACCAGTTTATTAAACTGGTTTAAACGCAAAACGCCCCTTGGCTAACCCACGACTTCGGCTCTAATCCAAAACACACACTCTCGCACACACAAATTTAAGAGTCTGGGCCCAAAAGCGAACGCACTTTGAAGATTGGGAACAGATTGCACAACCTCCAGCTCCCCGACTATCCTCCAACTCCCTCCCAGGGAGGAGGCTATGACGTGACATCCTGGCACTGGCTGCTGGCTACTGGATACTGGCACTGCGTTTCGATTCGATTGGAATGGAGTAACTTAATATTCAGCCAAGCGAATGCGTTTTATGGCCTGCAACTCCCTAGCCTTTGGCTTTTTAGTCCGAAAAAGTGAGTGGGAAAACCATTATCCACAAAGGATTTTAATTAAACAAAAAGAAAAACCCAAAAAAATCTAATTTCCGTTCCACCTAAAAAGAAACGATCTTTCCATTTAATTCGATTTCGGGGCAGTCTCTGACGCAATCATCATTCAAGTCGAGAGTCAGACTTTGAGCCTGCATCTCCCACACCCCCTCTCACAACTACCTTTCCAAAGGAAAATTTATAGTGCGCGTAGCTAGAACTGGATGTGGACTTGGACCAGGCCTCCGATTCAGGCCCCGGACCGGGCCCAAAGCGAGGTGCGTGAGTCGTTCAATCAATGCAATTCATTCATTGAGTCCGAAGTGGCCAAAAGCACGCAACAACAACAGCAGTTGACGGTTGCCTGCCGCGCTGGCCAAGTGCCTTTCAAGACAGTGGCATAGTCATAGCAGTCCAAGACGGGGATCTACTAAAAGAAAAGCCCAAAGGAAAACGTCAGCCCCTTCCCTGTTTGTCTGTGCCAACTGTCACCTCAAAGACCTCTCTGGCTCTCTGCCTCGCTCCCCCTTTGCTGGGGGGCATGTGTTTTTCCATTTACCCAACGGAAAAACCCCTGCTTGGCACACGCTGCTGCAACACTGAAAAAATGCGTTTTTCCTGTATGCAAAAAATCCACCAACAGAAAAAAATCGTAGACTCACAGAAAAAGTTGCGTATGGCAAGAGTTTATTGATTTATTATGGAGCATATACCGCATAATTTATTACAAATCTATTTGTGTGTCGGGGACCCAGACCCAGGAGGTGGGGGAGGGGGCTCCGAAAAGGTTTGTGCGTGCCAATAGATTTATGTGTTGTGGGGACATTAAACAAAAGACTTAAGCTACAAACTGGATAAGAAAATGAAAGGGGTTTAACAGAGCAGAGTAAGAGGAAGATAAAGGAAACATAAATTTATCAGAGAATTTATTTTTTATTCTGTTTCTATATACAATATAAAATCTTAATACTTTCCCACAGTTTGTTAGCCTCCCCAAAAAATCCTTAGCCCATGGCAAATTCGTTCGCCCTGCATTGTAGTACATGTATTATTATTATCTGCCGCTTGTTAATGACTTAATTAAACGCCTTTTATGTAAACAACAAAGGCAAGTGTAACCAACAAAAAACAAAAACAAACAACGAGCCACAAAAAGTCCAAGTGCCACCAATGCAACGCCCACGCGCAGCAGCAGCAGCAACAACTACAACCACAGGCACAGGGGCAACAGCCACAACAATGACCACACGCCACTTGGCCACCAACTACATCCCATACACCGTTTTAGCCATGGCCCCTTGCTTGAATCTGCTGTCTGTAACGAAGTTTGCGGATACCCTTCAAGAGGGTATTACAATAGGAGGAACTCCTAGACAACTCTATACATTTCAATGACACTTTTCTCAGAGTTTTAAGAGAGTTCTCTCTTTTATATCGGTTAGAATACGCTGTATCGAAACTTGATCAAAAATCGCAAAAATAAAACAAATATTAGGGTATATATACCTTCCACCACAGAAGCTAGACTTATTTTCACGCTCTGCGGTCGCTTTTACTGCTGTGGCACTGTGCTGGGTGGCGACTCTAAAAGTTGATAAGTATCATTAAACCGCCGCCCGCCTAGGTCTGGCTTTTGTCTAGTAGTGCGAATGCGAGTGCGCCCAAGAAGATTGATAATGCCTGACGGAGGAGGGCCGCCGCGAAGTGTTAATGGGACGAATGAATATAAATAACCAATTAAATGGAACGATATAATTTAATTGGTTTAAAGATACTATGCACTCGTAGATAGACCTCCTGTGGCTAGAGATGTTTGCTTTTCGATCGGGTAATTAGGCTGTGACTCCTACCTACCCACCTACCTACCATTATGACCACCGCCTTGGGCAATGATCGATGCATGAAATATCACGCCAATTACTGGAGCGAGCTCCAGCGATCCACCAGTAAGCAACAGTAAGCCGACAAGCGGCAACCAGTTGTTGCACCGCAAATTAAATCAATTAAATAAAAAACATTGTTGTACGAGTGTTTTTTTGGGATAGGCTGGACTAAAGTATACTCTTTTGGTGGAGTTTGGAAACCAGTCTGGGAACGAAAATATAAATCTTGGAGCAACCAAGACATAGTATTCCCTTTACCAATCATTACCAACCGTACCCCATCAAATCAGTAGAGTATTATCCCCACCAACGAAAGAGCTGAGACAACCGCTTTCGTTGAGTGATTTTTGATCAATTATGTTTACGACTTTGGCTTCTCATTAAACATTTATCGGATTGATTGAGCTGTTATATGATGTCACATGAGCAATTACCACACAAACCCCTCGCTTCTCGTTTCTTGCCTCTATTCCAGATGCCACACCATCGACTGTCTGCCCTGGGCCTGGTGCTACTCTCCTTCCTCCTGCAGCTGCAGTCGATCCGAGCGGATGTCGGCTACCACTACGACAGACCCTCGGCGCCGTCGGCACCAGCCTCCATCTATTCCGGACATCAGTTTAGAGCCTTGCCCACGATCCATCCGCTGCCACCGATTCCGTCGCTGCCGGCCCTGCCCACCGCTCGAGTTCCGATACCCAGGATTCGCCCCACTGCTCCCGCTGCCGACATTGTGAGCCACTATCTGCCACCAAAGCCAACGGGACCCATTGTGTCCACCTACCTTCCGCCGCCTGTGGCAGCGCCAATTTCCTCCATCAGCTTCCACGGCCAGACACCCACTCTGAGGCCCGTGTACGGTCCCCCAGGATACGGTTTCTCCCAGCCTCTGGCCCCCACTGCCTCCACGCCCATCGTGGTGCCCAGCGGCCCGGGACCAGTGTCGGCAGGAGGACCACCACTGCGCATTCCCTTCGGCAAGCAGGCTCTGATTTCGCCCGGGGAATCCTACGTAGCCAATGGCAGGCAGCTGAAGCAGTACGCCGTCATCGAGATCATCGACAACGACATCGACGAGTCGCCAGCTCCGTTCCTATCGAGCTCCAGCTTCTTTGATCGCTTCGGAGCACATTTGGGGGCATCTTCTGGCCCCAGTAATGGCGTTCAGTTGGATTCGAGGGCCAATTCCTTGCTCCTTGAGCAGCAGTCCCTTTCTATCCAGCCACGTTCACAGGGCGGTCAGGGAGATGCCATCGCTCTCGGTTCAGGAGGTCTGGGCTTCGTGCGCTTGGCCAATGGCAATGTCTACCTGGGATCTGGCTCCTTGGGTTACATCAGCGGTCAGCAGCGTGTGGCCTCTGTCCTGGATGCCCGCACTCGATCTGATTCCACGCCCGATGCCCTACACTTTGGCCACGGTCCATTGGGGGGAGCGGAGAACTTTCTGAGGTTCAAGTAGAGGCTGCTGCGGGTCCAAGGACTCGCTTCCTTATTCCCTTTTCGCTGTACAATACAACACACACACACAAACACACACACACACACACACACACACGCACATGTATAATTATATATATATTTTATTGTAAATATGTAATAAAAGTTCTCCTTCCTTTGTTTAGAATGTAAGATTGCCGAAGTTATTTGAGATTCTTGTACATTTTTCCTATGCAAAACATCGAAACTTGATCAAATAAATACACATCTATGGTATATAATTAGTTACAGGGGTGTACTTGATAGCTCATAGGTCTAGTAATATAGAAGCTAAAGGCCTTACCTAATCATAGGCTGCAGGTGAGTAATTTGTATTAGACATGACGTAGCAGGGCCGCAGGGCGCCTGCACATTGAAGAAAATCCATTGAAAATTCACCACTAATTCGAGGGCAAAGTGTACAATGCTGAGGGCGTGGCTGACACGACAAAGAATGGTCGTCGATCCACTATTAACAGAACAGAAAAGCACTTTCAATAATAATATTGTGAGCTGATAATAGTCTGGTCCGATGGAAATGCATGCGCAATAAGTATCACCACGAAGTAGTCGTTTTGCACTTTCCGATCTATGTACATATTTTATTCGAATCTCATCTCACATATGGGATCTGCATTGGCGCACCTTCGGATGAAGCTCTGCAGTACCTCCTGCTTCTTGTCCAGGGCTAGGATGTTGTTCAGCACGCTCCAAATTTCCATGGAGCTCCTCGATACCAAATATTTGTATTTTAAAACAGCGGATAGGGCTCCCTCGCAGGCCCACTTCAAGTACAGCTCGAATTGCATCCACCTGTAAAGCAAAAGCGCTGTCTTTAGAAAGATTCTGCATTCTTTACATTGAATTCTACTCTTAATTACGTACATTCTACTATACCACAGACCAATTTCCCTCAAACCTCTTATTAGTTCCTATTTCTGAAATTCCATAGCTGCCAGCTTCCTTGTGTATGTAAGTATTGTTAGTTCCGCTTGTGCCCGCTTTTAACTGTGGAGGCGCCTCTTTAGCCGCTGATTTCTTCCAGTGGCGCTGTATGTAATGTAATTTGGATGTAGATCTCATGTAAGGGAACAGCTTCAAACATACATAATTTTTGAAATCGCAATAAAAACACTTAAAATATTTTGAATAGTTTTTATTAAAAAGAAAAATAACATAAAAATCAACAGAATTACAGTGTATTTTTGGTTTTTGTGTGTTAATGGAAGTTCCAGCAAAAAAAAGCTTTAAATTTAAATCTTGGCCACCTCAAAAAAATTTAAAAAACTATCCAATAAAATTTCCATATTGCTATCTCTGCTTTCTCGTGAAGTGTAGTGGGTATAAGATTTAATCATGCTATTTCAACAGATTTGCATTTGTTTGCTAAACAGAAAAACAAACAATTTGTGTGTTGGCTCCTTAATTATTCATGCGCAATTTTATAATGCGATTGGATGGCGGGAACGTGCCGGCTAGTTTGGGGAGCTGTGCAAGATCTCCGGATCGGGTTCTATATGTACATATGTATGTGTGGGCTCGGTTGCGAACATGTGCGACCGGCAGGGCAGGGCTAGCCGACGTGTTTGTTAAATGCGCAGTTTTAAAAGATCTATTTTTTGTGCGACTGTTTGCCGGCTTGCCTTTGCCTTTTCCCCTCCTACATATGCACACATACTCGTATACACATCTTATATTCATAAGTATGTTTGAGTATGTATCTATATTATTCAAGTTTTTTGAAAAGTCTAGAACTGGGCCACGCGCGCTACCCCCCAGATGGTGGGGCCAAAATGCCGGCCGGTTTTTCCATGCGAGTGTTCTTCTCTCTGGTGCCTCTATCTTTTGCTCTTTCTTTAACAAAACAGTTCAACAAACTGCCAAAATTAAAACGCAGACTCAAGGTGAATCGGAAAGTACAATATCTGGCCCGAATACAGGCCCTCCAAGGTGAAGTGGAAAGTGGCAAACACGAGCGCACGCAAGGTTCATTCGCTGATAAAGAAAGTAATTATTTGGCTTATAAAGTCCTTTTTGATTTGATTTTTAAACACTTATTTTTTTATTGCATTTCACTTAGGAGCTAGAGATTTACAAGATACAAAGTCAATATGACTGAATGAACAAAACGAAACTGAACAATCGCTACAAGAGCTACTAGCTTACGGACTAAGATGGATATGGAAGGTAACGGAGTCAGGTAGTAGTTTTGTTAACAAAATGAGGGTCTCTAAAATTATAAGATCAGTGTCTTGGCAAACATAAAAACTAGATGATTTTGGCAGTTGCTGCTTGGTTGGAATTGACCCGCCGAACGGTTACAGCTCCAGCTGGAACTGCTCCTGATCCTCGATCTTCAGCGATTGGGTCTTCTTCACCAGCTCCGTGGGCACTGGCACACACTTCCTGAAGGGGGTACGTGGTGTTCCACGCATCAGGCAGCTCGGTATATTACTGGGAGGCGTCTGGCTCAAGGGGGAGGCACGCAGATTCTTCATGAAGGCCCGCTCATAGATCAGTTTGGTGCCTAGAGAAAGATAGAGAATGGAAATCCCTTGATTAGTCAAGGTGTTCTCTGTGCCGATTGCATCAGCATATTCGTATAGTCCAGTTCCGGACGATAACAACGGCTGAGCAAACATTTCTGGCGGGCAATGATAGTGAGTCAGTCAGAAGTCCCATGTGCGCGGACTGACTTTTCTCCGTCTTATCTGCCTGACTGGTCTGACTGATTCACTTCAGACGCAAAGTTTCATCAGCCGCAAAAGGCCAAAAATACTATAGATGACACTCACCTCCGGGCGTGGTGGAGTACAGGGTACCGCCGGGCGTCGAGGAGTACACCTCCGGCATCTGGATGGGATCCGTGATGACGATCTTCTTGGTCTTGGCAATGGCCATCATTGGCAGGGCGTGGGAAACGGCTTGACGGGCGGTGGGTGATGCAGACATCTTTGATTGTTGGTTGATTTTTATTGCTGGTATTCGAAAAACTTTCCGCTTGGCTTGTAACCACTTTTGATTATTGCTTTTTTTTATCGTCGTCTCCTACTACGACTTTTGATTATTGTTTACACAAATTGCGTTGTTTTGTTTGTGGCGCTTATCAGCTGTTTTTCCCGCTCGCTGCTGCTGCTTCTGCTGCTTGTCTGTTTGCTTGGGGCTGGCGAATGCTTGTCCATGCTTGCTGTCCGCTGCTATTTATACTGCGGCGCTCTTTCTAGCAGCTCTGCTAGCTCTCCCCTGCGTCGCTCTCTCTCTCTCTCTGTTGTGCACTGCTCTCTCGCTCGCGTGATGTTTTTGTCTGCCGCCGCATTTCTGCGTATTATGACAATATTCCGAGTCGTTGTTGTTTTTATTGCTGTTTATTCTAATGAACCGTCTTGGTACCCTGGGCAGAGGGTAGTACGATTTAGAGGAGAGACATTTGCCCGTCAGGTAATGAAGCATCTCCAGATACATAAGGTCGGAATGGTTACTTTTTCTCCTAGCTGTTTACAAGTAGGATTCGCCAGGGAATACTCTATAACTAAAGCTTTCATTGGAACCATCTGCCGGAAAACATGCAGGAACAACAATTCAATAAGCAATTCTTTGTTGGAAAAAGTTTATTGTTTATGATTATAGCCAATGAAACTCGAAAAGCTTATGTTTTACTACGAATCACCTCTAACTTTGATCTGAAGCAACTTACTTAAGAAATAGATCTTTGGGTATATACATACATATGTATCTATTATCTTATAAGTCACAGCATATCAATGTACCTACGAGAGTATCTTAAGGTTCGGATCCCCAAAAGATAGTCTTCCTTTCTTGGTGTTGTTTTTGCTATCGTCTGCTGCACACCTTAGACGGTTCTGGCAAAAGCAAGACAGAGATAGTGATATAAAGACCGGTCGAGAGGCAGAGGGAGAGAGAGCGATAGATTGGGGGGGCCTGCTGCGGGGTTTCCTCCTCTCCGCCTTTTGCCTTGGGCTTTTGTTTATCTTTAGCCATTTGTTATTGTTTAATGCACGGCAATATTATTGGTAAACAAGCTAGTAAGAAATACTTAAATGAGCAAACAGCTTTCGAGATTCGATTCGTATCGAATCGATTCCACACTTCATGCATATGGGTTCCTAAAAACTCCGTTATCTGTCTATGAACAGAACTGTTGCAGGGAAAGACTATGACTCAGATTTCATCAGCCATCCATAGGTAATGCCCTCCCAAAGACGGTCTGTGGGTGATTCCTCAGAATTTCGGGAAGTGATATTTTGTTGCGTCTGTTTTGCAGTGCGCGGACTGGCCTCTGGCAATCTATAACTAATTACCATAATGGCACGTTGCCGGGTCGATCGCTGACGTGTAGATGAGCATATCAATAAATTTAATTACTTCGTGGCACGAGCGGCGCTAGCACTACATATATGCGCGGGGGCGTTGGGGCTGTTGACAAAACTCGAACGAATGTTGGACGCATGTAAAATAGTGTCAAAGGAACGAATGCTTACGTAGGCGCCCACGATTCGACGTAATTCGAATTTTTGGCTTATGTCCATAGCCCATGGCCAGAGGGCAATGTAAAGGTGCCACGTGTATGGATCTACCCCACAATGTGGGACAATTGGCGCCCACATAGGATTCAAGGTCAGGACTAAAGCGTGCGAATATTTATGATCTCTCAAAAAATTCTGATGAAATTTGGAGAAAGACCTTGAATGGAAAAACACTGGCCAACACTGTGTGATCATTGTTAGGTTGTGGTTTTTGTGGACATGCGGTCAAGTGGATGCTTTCTTTTTTTGGGAATAGATTATATATCTTACCTATAGGGAAAATTTTAGGTAGATAATGATGGAGATCACCTGGAAAAAAAGAATTATCGTTAAGAAGAATGGCGATAATATGTGTGCCTCTTTAGGGGTGTATATATATGCATCTTTCTACTCAAAGATGAAAGATACATTAGAGGAATATTGCATTATGGGAAACTCCTAGAAACACCTTTTGATGGCGATACTATGGGATACCTAATTCTGTAATTAGTTCACAAACAAGTGCCAAGTGCAGGCCACTTTCAGTGAGATTATATCATGACCCACATTCGTTAATTTCTGGCAATAGGCCCCCAGGTGGTGGGCGGCAATGAGGGAGGCCCCACATATCTATGTAAGCTAAGTGCTGACTGACCCCCAAAGAACCTAACCGTAAACAACTTTACGCACATGGGAGCCAGAACTCACGGGAGTCTGATGGAATTGTAATGTGTCATCCCGCACGTAGTCCACAGCATAGAACCATAGCCCTACGTGCGGGTGCCGGTATATGTTTCAAAAGAGAGCGAGAGATTCAGATACTAAAAGAGAATCAGAGAGGACGGCACATGGTACTCTGCTCTCCCATTAGGGTCTTATCAACCCTCCTAATGGACTAATGACAACCGGTTCTTGGTTTCGATTTCACTTTCGATTTCAGTAGTACGTTGCGCAGGTACTACAAGAGAGAGATTCCTAGAGAGATGTACCCACAGAGAGAGAGAGAAAGGCGTTAGATGGTAGGAAGTTTTCCTATTGCGTTGCAGCCAAGTGAAAATGCGTCTTTGATGAAATTTTTGTCGGCTGGGTCTTGGTGCGAGAGGTGCGGACCGGTATACCGGCCAAACATCGAAAATTTTGTATTGTTGTTTACGTCTATGGGGGATTATTCTCGGGGTGGAAAAGGCTGATGAAATTGCACCATGCGGTTACGTGGGACAATCGGATCTCGGATCACGGATCTATTTCTAAACGAGTCAAAGATAGTTGTGAATGAGAGACGAGACCCAAAATTAATTCAATGCAAATACCAAGAAAAACGAAACCGATTGAAAATATCATCAGCCTCCGAAAAGGCCAATTGCTGCACGACGGAAGTGTGGATACTCTGTAAAAGTATTTGAAGACCAGAGAAGAAAATCATATTACATATATGTATTACATACAATATGAATAAAGGATATAAAGGCGTACCCTCGGAATATTTTCCATATTTTTCGTAATTTTTAAATGCGAATTTATTGCCAAGATGCTATCAAAGCTTATGTTTTGCCGTATAATATCTATGAAAAGTTCGCAAAAAAAAATTCTACATTATCTATGTAATTATTTTTGTTAAGTCTCCATCCATCAAACACTTGTATTAGCCCATAAGCTCTTGATAAGAAAGTGTATACGCATTTTTATACAAACAACAACAAGCCTCACATCTCATCCCCCAATTCCGTTGACGTCGATGACCCACATTCTGTGAAATACTCGAATACACATGAAGACGCCTCCGCCGACGACACTGTCGAGCCGTTGGCCAAAAAAAGCAAATCATTCATTCGACTTTGTTTATGCAAAATATGAAAAATACACACAGGAGGGAGGGAATAGTACACCAAAACAGAACAATAATCGTCCATTAAGTCTATAAATTAGCATGTGCCCCGAGCACATGGTCTGCTGTCGAGAGATAAGGGTGCAGTGCAAATCCATAGACTGCAGCGATAAGGGTAAACCAACAGAAGATCGGTTCGAGACTGCTTGACGCTAAGTCATTGCCAGTTGCCATTTAGGGAGGTGGTTCATCCTTGTACTCTCGGAATCGAATCGTATCGCGTAATTTGCGTCTTACATTACCTCAGCTGAAAAACACCCGATTCCTGGTTGCTGCTGGGATCTTCCATTGGGCGGGGGGATCCATCACCCTCCCCCCTTCTAATCGACCTTTCTTCACTGCCAAAAAAAAAAAAAAGAAAAGTTCAATAGCCTGTGATAAGGTTTCGAATAGAGACACAGACAGAGAAATGTGGATTGGCGCACTTGTGGATGGCGAACTCAGCCATAGCTGCTAAGCCACACTGTAAAAGAGAGACAGACAGACCAAGGAGGGCTGTTGATGCGAAACAACGACTGTATGATATAGTGTTGGGTAGTAGAATGAACAACAGATTTAATCTTTAAAAGCCATTACCTTCCATATGATATATTCATTCGAAATCCTATCGATTCCCACTACGAAAAGTATAAGAAATCAGGAATATGCCTCGCTCCTTTTGCAAGGGTATCCAACAAATGTATACCGCTAATAAAATGATCATTTCCGATCAGATGGGAAGATCTCTCCATTCAGATCTTTCACTTTCCGCTGCCATATATCAATAATGCATGGGCTAAAGAGTTGGCAACCGAATAAAATAATGGAAAAATGGAATTTATTTAACAGACTGGAGACGAGGAAACCTTCGCAACGATCAATGAACTAGACTTCTCGTGCACGAGTTCCACGAACTTGTAAGTGATCTTTGCATATACGTATACGTACTATACCATACGTGCCTGTGACAATATGGTAGGTACATACATATGTCTGAAAGTGTGGGATGGGTCTGGTCTGTGGTCTGATATGGTCTGGTATGGTCTGTTCGTTACACTCCTTCGAAGAACTTGTCCAGCAGTTCGTTGTTTACATAGCCGATCTCCCATTTCTGACGATCGTTCGCGGGATCGCACTCATTGGTGTACACCGTACCAATGCCATTTTCTACGATACCCTCCATGCAGCGTTTGCCGTTTGGGGCATGAACCAGCCACTTATGCGCACGATCGTAGTACCAGAATTGATTGCCTCCTTGATTATGACAGCTCCACATCCAGACAGTGGCATTTGCATGCACATCCTGGACATCCAGACAATTGGAGGCCCCATTGTGTCGAAGTTCGCGATCGGGTGTGAGAAGCCAAAATTGATTAAACTGCGGATGGGTGCGATTCTCTGCACAGCTGTACAGCCCCACGGCATTGTGGGCGCCCAAATTCATGGTGTCCAAGCAGTGTGTAGCAAAGGCCACGTTTTGAAAGGCCCCCGAGGCGTAGTTGGGCAGCTCCACGGGCGGGAACTTCTTGAGGAAGTCCGGGGCCACCTCTTTTAGGTACCAGTCGAAGGATTTACACTGGAGTCGCTCGCGAATTGCCCGTTGACGGGTGAGGTCACCAGCATCGATGTTGTTATAGGTCTGTGGATCCCTACTGTAGACATGTTCCTTGTACTCATCCATCCAGACCTCGGCCACACGTTTGTGGTTCTAAAGATAAGAGGGAGATATGTGTATCTGCATCTTTAAGGTATTCGATTGAAAAGGAAAGACTTACCCTCCCCACAAAATTGTAATTCCTTGGATTTGGTCTTGGGTCCATGGGACCGCGGAATATGTGAGCTACTCGAGAGCAGGGAACGTCTAGCAACATGCCGCCGCACATCCAGATCTTGAAGCTCAGTTCGTACTGCTCCCCGCCCCAGATGTCCAGCTCATCATCGTAACCGCCCAGATCCCAGAAGAAATCGGTTCTGATGGCAAACAGGCCACCCATCATTACTGGATTGCGAAAGGGCTGTGACTTATCCACACTGTCCTCGGGGAGGACGGGCAGCTGTTTGTAAAAGAAGCGCCAATCGAAGCCACCGCGGGATCCCTCCTGATAGCCCCCATTGTAGGCAAAGTTGCTGTGATCGATTATGTCGACAATGGGACATGTAGAGATCTTGGGATTGATGGCAATGGGCTCGAGCAATGGAGGAAGCTGCAAAACAAGGGGAAAACTTTAGATATTGCAGGAACGATTCAGGGGTGGAAACCTACCCAGTTGTAGTTGACTTCAATGTGAGAGTCGAAGAAGACCAAGACCTCTCCGGTGGCCACCTTGGCCCCTTCTAAGCGTGCTCCAATCAGACCCTTTCGCTCGACATTCCTTACCACCGTCACGACATGGGGAAAGTGCAGGGAGACGTAGTCATCCAGCTGCTGCTTTAGTGTGTCCCAGTCACTGCCATCATCCACAAGGACAATTTGCTTCAGCAGCTCCACTGGAGTGCGGTTTATGACGCTGTAGATGGATCGCAGCAGGGCACTGAAGTGCTCGTTGTAAAAGATAAAGATCACGCTGATGTTCGGCAGCTTCGACAGGTACTTCCGGGTCTTACATCTGTGAAGAGGAGGCGGGAGTATATTGTCATCTAGACGGAACTATAGAGTTATAGTGCTTACTGCTCCAATCGCACATCCGGCACGGAGCGATTGACGGATATCATATCAGAGAGAAGGCCATTGAATCCATTCTTCCTGTACATCTGCTGTTCCAACTCCTTCTCATCGGGATTCTCGATCTCCGCGGGCAGACCATGCTCTCCGAGACCCGATCGCAACTTGTCCGCTTCCATGGCCGCATAGTCGTGCCAGTCCCGTCGCTCACCCTCCATATCGGGCAGTCTAAAGCCTGTGGGCTGGGGTTTCTCCCCGGGCGGTGGCTCCCTGGCCAGGCTGCGATCCTGGAAGGGCGGACGTGCAGCTCGACGCGTGGGTTGAAGGTTGTTCGCCCGAAAGACGGGAGTGATAGGATCCCCATTGGGATCGAGATTCTCCTCCGACTGACTGCCGCCGGGACTGTCGGGACCCCTGCGTTTCTCCACAATCATCGTGGTGACCAGCGAGATGGCGGCAACCGAGAGCAGCCAGAACACCACTTTGCGCACGAGGCGCTTCACATAGCGCTTCTTCATAGCCATCGATGCAACGACGTCGTGCAGGTGTAAGTCTTTTTTGGAGACTGCTGTCTTGATCGCGCCCCGTGCCATCCCATACACGTCGTGCTACCTGGCAGTGCGTGGCAAAGCGTGGGTACATTAGTGTAATTACCAGTGCCAGGTCGACATTGGAAGTGCAGATATCGCGGTAAGACGAAAGCAAATTCGATTTTGGTGAACAGCAACATGCTTCTTCACTATCAATCAGTATTAATTTCGAATGGCCTGCTGTCAGAGAGGGTCGCTGCCTGGGTGGCGTGCAGGGCGTTTCACTCACCTGAAGTCGAGAATAAAAACAAAAAAACGGAAACGAAAAAATTGCATTGGAGTTCAAATTAGATAAGCGCGCGTCATGGTGTCGCCATCTGGTGTCAATAAGTAGGTGTCGATAGGCAGTTTATTGTTATCATTTTTGAATTTTAAGCTGGATAGCCAAACCTTCGTTTCATCTCACTGGTACTATTCAGACGAAACTTGGCACTCAAATACATATTAGTCCAACCGATTACCCAACGCTGGCTCGGGCTCTCCGGATAGCAATGATTGACGCGAACGACGGCCTTTTTTCCATCCACAAAGGCCTCCAGGCAGCGATTCAAGCTGCTGCTCTGCTGAATCCACTTTCTGTTAATACTGTAACTCCAAATCTGATTGTCCCCTTTAGTGCAGCGGTTCAGCCACACAGTGGCGTTTAGCGTCGTGCCACGCATCTGCAGGCAGTTCAAATCAATCCCGGAAACGATCTCTAGATCATTTGTCAGCCTCCAGAACTGTGTCGGCGGTGGATGGGTAAGATTTGCACTACACTGTCCCAGGCCCACGGGCTTTCTGAAGCCCTCGGCCAAGGCGTCGATACACAAGCCGGGATAAGCCACATTCTGGATTGCCCCCGACCCGTAGCCGCGTGGTTCCACCAGCGGGAATCGCTTCAGGAAATCGGGTGCCACTTGATGCAAATACCAATCAAAACTATTACACTGGAGACTCTCACGAATATTCTTCTGACGTGTCACATTCCCGGCATTGATGTGGTATTTGTAGGGATCTCGCAAGTACAAATAGTGCTTGTACCCATCCATCCAGACCTCGGCCACACGCTTGTAGTTCTACAGACATTAGGGAGATCAAGGCTATTTTTGATTTCAGAGAAAGATGTAAAACTCCTACCCGCGTCAATGTATCGTACTCTCCTTTGGTAGATTCTAAGAGTTCACCTTTTTGCCAAGTTGGGTCCTGGGCGTCCTTGGGGTCTATGGCTATGTGCCCCACTCGGGAGCAGGGAACCTGAAGCAGCATGCCACCGCACATCCAGATCTTGAAGCTCATCTCGTACTGCTCGCCACCCGATGCGTCCAGCCCCTCATCGTAGCCGCCCAGCTCCAAGAAGTACTTTCTGTCGATGGCAAAGACTGTGCCCTCCATCACGGGATTGCGATAAGGCTGTGACTCGCCTTTGATGTCCTCCTGCAGGACAGGCAGCTTATTGAAGTTGAAGTGCCAGTCGAAGCCACCGCGCCACAGCAACGGATCGCTCCATTTAAAAGAAAAGTCCGTATTATCGATTTCATCCAGAATAGGACTGGTGACGATCTTGTAATGCAGTGTCATGGGTTCCAGCAAGGGAGGCAGCTGAAAGAGGGGGGTGCACATTATAAATTCTGGCAGGAGGGTTCGCATCAGAGCATACCCAATTGTAGATGACCTCAATGGAGGCGTCACAGAAGACCATAACGGTTCCGTTGGCCGAATTGACTCCCGCCACGCGTGCTGCAGGCATGCCAGTCCGTTTTTTTTGTCTTATAATGGATACTTTCGATCCAAAGTGCTCGTTAACGTATTTGTCCAGCTGTTCTTGTAGTTCCTGAGCGGTGCTACCATCATCTACGAGTATAACTTCATGCAGCAGTTCGTGTGGAGTGCGATTGATGATGCTATGGATGGCCCGTAGCAGGACACTCAAGTGCGTATTGTGGAATACCATGATGACGGATACATTGGGCAATTTGACCAAGTACTTGCGGGACTTGCACCTGTCGTGGATTGTTAGCCCTTCTAATGATAACTGATCTGTTGCTACTTACCTCAACGGACGCGTGTCCGCGATCGTACGATTCACGGATATCTTATCGGAGAGCAAAGAATTGAAGCCCTTTTTTATGCTCATCGCAATCATTTCTTCGTACTCTTTGGTATCTTTGATGGCGATGCGCAACCCTTGCTCGCCCAGGCCAGTTTTTAAACTATCCGCCTGCATGACCGCCCGATCGTGCCAGTCCTTCCGCGGGCCCCCCTGCAAGGGTAAGTCGAACCACACATTCAGTTCATCCAGGACCATTTGGCCCACCATAATGTTTTCGGTGTTCTCGGTGTCAGCTACGGTTGTGTCGAAACTCTGTGTGTGTATGCTCTTGCCCATCAGGATGGTGGAGATCAGCGAGACAGTTATGATGGCCAGCAGCAAAGCCACCATTTTTTTCAAATCCAGATTGACCTTCATGCTGCCGCTCTCTGTTGTCTGTTTGTGGTACTAGAGACGCGAGAGCAACCGCGAATTTCGAATTGTAGATATTAATACGATATATACGAATATCTAGAGAAACACACGTTTTTGGTTTTGCATAAACTCTGAATTTTGAGTATTATGTAAAATGTCTCAGCCTACTTTCATTTCTTTTTATTATCCTACTGTATGTAAGGAATCTACGGAATCTATTATATATTTGTTAAATGAGACCGTATATTTTGGTATTTATTTGAATCGGATAGAATCTGTTATAACCGGTTGACAACAATGAGTCCCATTCCATGCACACATACCCTGGGGAAATGGATGTTATAGAATTGTGAATATGTTTTGTCATGCCAGGCAAAAACAATTTATTTTCAATATATTTTAATATTATTCATATTTCAACGATATTTTAAAGCTTATTGTCTTCTTGCAGAGACCAAGAATTGGTATCAGGATCTAGATATATATACAAAACACTCATCATATACATGAATATGTCTAAAAAATGTAAATTTGAGAAAAGGTCTTTATTAGTCACGTTTTATCTCCATATCAATATTTATACTTTCATATAACATTAACAAAATAGGGTATACAAAGGCATATACCACGGCTTACACGCAATATAGCGACTCTTTTTTGTTGAATTTTTTCGCTAAAACCTTTTTTTACGCAAAAGGCAATAAAAGCAAGTATTTAGAATAAGCCAGTTAAGAATAAAAATTATTCATGAATCGTATAAAATTATGTGGGCATAGCTAAATGTGCTATATAGCTGAGAATATTCCACGGAAGATCAAAAACGAGGAATATGTAAAAAAGAACTCGAACTCGTCAGTATATTTACGGTATATTTTTTAAATGAGACCGCTATCACACTGCTACCCGCGGTCACACTGATCTCCTTTTTTTCTGCCGACGCCGCATGGACTGCGATTTTGTTTTTTTTGTTTGTTCTGTTTAAAAACATTTTTTAAGGAAAATTGTGACTCGAGTTGGCTTGCACGCAGCATGGACCTAAACGATGCTGTTCTTACCTGTGCGGTCAACATACAGTGGACCAATGCAGTGGGGATTACTGGCCGCAAGCTGGCTTATAAGACGGCCACCTTGCGCTTGGTCCGCAACGATATCCGGGAGCTGTTTGTGGAGGTGACGCCCGAGAAACTGAAGCCCCTGAAGTTTAAGCTGAAGGATTTGATGGTCCACAAGAAGTTCATGGCCGAGGGCAAGGCCACGTTCAATTTCAAGGCGGAGAACTGTGCCATCTATCTGTCCAATGCCCCGCCCGGCACGCTGATGTTCTTCCTACGCACAATTTTCATCAAAATGAATGGCGACGGTGGTCAGCCGGACGACGCCTCGATGCAGAAGAAGCTGAGGGAGCACCTGCTCTCGGGCAAGCCGAGCAGCTTTGAGGACGTGTCGCCCGTGACCACCGCGGAGATGATTTTGGCGCGCAAAAAGGCGGGACTTGTGCCCAAAGGAACAACCACCACACCCTCGCCGCAGGGCGCCAAGAAGCGGCGCTTCGACGAGCTAAAGGATCAGGATCGAGAGAAAGGCACCGTGCCGGCGGCCAAGAAACTATATCAATCCTCGCCTCTGGCCGGCACAGACGAATCACTACGCCTCAACGAGGAGCAGATGGAAGTGCTTCGTGCTTGCACCACTGGCAAAAATGTCTTCTTCACGGGCTCCGCCGGCACCGGCAAGAGTTTCCTGTTGCGTAGGATTATCTCTGCCCTTCCCCCCGATGGAACTATAGCCACAGCATCCACGGGTGTGGCTGCATGCCTCATCGGTGGCACGACGCTGCATGCCTTTGCGGGTATTGGTGGCGGAGATGCCACCATGCAGCGGTGCCTGGAGTTGGCCTCTCGTCCGGTCAGCGCTCAGACGTGGCGGAAGTGCAAGCGACTGATCATCGATGAGATCTCCATGGTGGATGGACAGTTCTTTGAGGTATGTGGCATCGCAATCCACTAAATGACTTCCTTTATTGGAATCTCTTCTGTTTTTTGCTTGCAGAAAATCGAGGCAGTGGCCCGGCATATTCGTCGCAATGACCGTCCCTTTGGAGGCATTCAGCTGATCCTTTGCGGTGACTTCCTGCAACTGCCGCCCGTGATTCGAGGCGATTTTGGTGCGGCGCCCAATGCCACGCCCCAGCAGCGCTTCTGCTTTCAGTCCAGTGCCTGGGAGACCTGCATTCAATGCGTGTACGAGCTGAAGCAGGTGCATCGTCAGTCGGATCCGGAATTCGTCAAGATCCTGAATCATTTGCGCATTGGTCATGTGAATGAATCGATAACCACGCGACTGGCGGCCACATCCAGGCAGAAGATCGAAGGCAATGGCATCTTGGCCACGCAGCTCTGCTCCCACACGAATGACGCCAATTCCATCAATGAATCGAAGCTGGAGAACCTGCAAGGCGACAAGGTACTCTTCCGCTCAGACGACTCTGATGCGGGCATGACCAAACAGCTTGATCAGCAGATCCAGGCCCCATCCCAGCTCTATCTCAAGGTGAATGCCCAGGTGATGCTGCTCAAGAATATTAACATATCCAATGGACTGGTCAACGGTGCCCGTGGCGTGGTAGTGCGAATGGAAAAGGATCTCCCGGTGGTGCGGTTCAAGAACAATCAGGAGTACGTCTGCAAGCACGAAAAGTGGATCATCAAGACGGCCACCGGTGGTGTGATCACCCGTCGTCAGGTGCCACTGAAGCTCGCCTGGGCCTTCTCCATTCACAAGAGCCAGGGCCTCACCCTCGACTGCGTGGAGATGTCGCTCTCGAAAGTCTTTGAAGCGGGTCAGGCATATGTTGCCCTGTCCCGAGCCAAGTCGCTGCAATCCGTACGCATCCTAGATTTCGATGCGAAGCAGGTGTGGGCCAATCCCCAGGTGTTGCAGTTCTACAAGGGCTTCCGGCGACGCCTTATGGACACCACAATGATACCACTGGGACCCAAGAATAAGGACAAGCGGCCAGGCGATGCCAACAGTGCTTTGGCCAAGATCAAAAAGAGCCTGATGAACAAACCATTGGTTTCTATTAGCTGAATGGGAGGATGGCACTCGACTTTTAGATGAATTTAATTAGGATTTGTACAACCTAAAGACTGCTTCTCTTTTGGAGGCTCATCCACAAATATTTAAGAAAAACTTTCAATGGCAATTTTATCACCCGAACTACGGATTAAGACGAACAAACTAGTATTAAGCCACAAGCTGACATTAAAATCTACTGCATTTAATCAACTAAACAACCTGAGAGGAGGTTCTCCTAGCAGAACCTTAAAGAATGGCTTCTCGTGTGGTTATCGAAGAAATTACTCAAATTAGACCTCTTTTAACTAAGGCAGAGAAGGGTCAAAGATTAAAGAACTCATAGAAAACGCATGTGAATCGAAAAGAACAAGACTATCATTTTCTGTGGCATGCACAGGGATAAACAGGCGAAAAAAATCTTTAACGAAGAGAATGAGAGATTAAAATTACAAATAAAGGCACTCCTGGATAATCAATGGCCCAACATTTCAGGATGAGCGGCCTTGGAAACTTGAATAACGCTTGGCCACAAAAACCTTTTGCCTTTCAAGGATCTACAGAATCTTCGTATAATACAGAAACTATCTGAACAAATGAGACATTTTAACCTAAACTAAGGACGAAACCAAGCCAGAGGCCTCTTTGGGTATACCATTTCGGGGTGTGTGTATTTTGTAATCACGGAAAATTGAACTAACAAAAACCTCAGTTCCGTCTCGGCAGGCAGGAGTTGGAGCAGGAGGATGATAAAAGGAAACTCAATGAGCGGCCTACTTTTCGCCCTTCATGCCGCTGCCTACTGGGCCGTGGCGACGCTCCCAGATCAAACGATGCTTCTGCTTCATGTAGGCCGTCTTGGCATTGGCATAGCCACCCAAGTCGCCATCTAAAAGAAGGGAGATTCAATAAGTTAGGTGTGCAACAGAGGCCCAGGTAATCGCACTCACATTTGATGAACCAGTTCTCGGTTGCCTTCTCGTACTGCTCGAGAATGGGCTTGCACTTGATGATGTGATCAGGAGCTTCGTACAGTGTGCAATCCTCGAATCGCTGCCGCAATATATTCACAATCTCGTTGTCCACCATGCGATCCCGGCGGAACTGCTGGTCCGCCTCGAATCGGCAGACGGCATCGTCCGTATAGCACTGATCGATGGTCGGCACGCGTTGGAAGCGCTGGTGGTACCAGTTGTACTTCTCCTGGTTCGGTTCCACAATGGTTTCTGCAAAAGATCCGAGGTTTTAGAGCCGTGTAAACAAAAACATTGGCCTACCGCGTTTGAGGTTATGTCATTATGTAATGGAAAAGTGTTTTTCCAAGTTTTGCAATTGTAGGCGCTATTTTGGGTAGCATAGCTCTATCAGGGGACTCATAAGATGGCAATTCAGTGTCTCCAAGTTCCGGGACTTACCACGGAACCATGTAATGGGTCCATCGATGATATTCGACACCGACTGGGCGAAGCTGGCCATCGGGCTGCGCGGCTCCGGCATTTTCTAGCTTCTGATACTTCTGCAAGGGCAGGAAGAGCTTATTAGATTGTCAATTATCCTTTATAGGTGCTTTGTTTAATTAAAATTGCTTTAAAAACCTTATTTTTCCTTAAAAATATTCCAAATTTCGGTTCAAGTGTGACCGTCAGAAATATACCAAAATATACCGTCTCATTTTCAAAGTATACCGTAAATATACTGACAAACCGGAGTATGGAAGTTTGTATACCCTGTGCAAAATATCGTTGAAATAACTTTCAATCTAAATCTGACCAGTTTCTGCATTAATTAGAGCCTGGGATGACAAACATTTCCGCAATTCTATAATATCATTTTCGGACCTTAAAAACGAATGCTGCTACCGATTCATACCCGATTCAATGAGAGCGAAAAAGAGAGCATTAAACGGTTTGATGAGATCAGTTCGGCCATCGATACTATCGACTGGACGAAAGTGGTGCGCGCCAAATAGAAAAGTTTGAAAATGAATGAGCGAAAAGGAGTCAAATGCAATCAATTGGAATAAATGATGCACGTAAGTACGATTCGAGATAAAAATTAATTAATTAATTAAATTAAAACAAAATAAAATGAATCAGCTTTTTGGCGGCTATTTGAACACTCGAACTAAATGTAAGCTAGTAGCTCGTTAACTTTGAGCGGCTGCTTTGGTTCCACAGCAGCCACTTTAACAGGTTCATAGCAATTTACTTGAAAGTTCTTATCATATCAGAGCATGGTAGAAATACAGAAGGTAGTAGAAACTTTTTTGAGTTATTTGCCTCGATACTTTACGATGTATTTTAACAGCAGACATTTTAGGTGCCTTAACAGCATGAGTCTGGTTTTTCTTAGAGACTCTAAGAACATGAGCTCAGCAACATTTTTCCCAAGTGATCTCGCGAAAAGGTATGGACAACTGGGAAAACTGTTCCAGAAACATTTCAAAGACCATATGCACCACACCTGACCGTGTTTGATCAATAATATGGTATGAAGCAGTCCCGGTAGGTATGGAATTGGGGTTGCATTTTACCTTGCATGCGCTCAATTTTCTGGTCCGCTTTGGCTGCTGTCCATACCTTCTTTTTCCCTCAGCAACACGCGTTTGTTGCCCAGCAACATCTTTAGGCGCCAGCAACACTTGAAGGCGGGTGTATTTGAAAAATACTATAGGATTTAAGATTTAAAATGTTATTCAATTATCCCAAAAAGGTGTCCATATTAATATATTTGCAAAAAAACTATCACCTTCATCAAAAAATATACACAATATTCGACTTATCAACATATATTCAGAATTGAGATACTCAGATACGCAGATACTCAGATACTTTTTCGGCTTCGTTTGGTTCGGACGTGTAGCGGGCGCTCGTTCGTTTCTCTGTGTGTGTGAGTGTTCGTGCGTATCTCTGTGTGAGCGCAATGGCAAAGCAAATGTAAAAAGCTCGCACGTGCGGACGCCTGCGAAAAGAGAGGAAAGAAATTGAAGTAAAGCAAAGCAAAGCCAAAACAACAAAGCGGGGCGCCGCATGCAAAATAAATATTTAATAACGAGAAATGCAAAAATAAGCTGCAACAAGGCGGGAGAAAAGCAAAAGGAAAAGCAAAACCAAAAGGTTTATAAATAGTGCACAAAAACAAGGCGGCAAACGGAAATTTCGGCGGCACAATAAGAATTTGTCGCCGTCGTCGCCGCCGTCTGGGGTCACGTCACCGCCGCATCCCCCCGCGTTCGCGCGAGTGTGTGTCTGTCTGCCGACTGTGCCCGTGTGTGTGTCCGTGTGTGCAAAAATATAAAATTTAATAATAATAATAATTAAGAAATTGCGCCGAAAATTTAATTTACCGCAAAATATCCCAAAATAAGAGAAATTACCCAAAGGGGTAGAAATATTTGCGCGCCCGCCCCTGCACGAAAAAAGCGGACATACGTTTTTCCCGCCTTTCGAAATGCCGTCGGCAAAATGATGAATGCAAAAGAGTTGCAAATAAGTGAAATAAATCCCAAAACCAATCAACAAATGTGCCAAATTGTTAACAAAAAATAATTCAAGTTTAAAGAGAGAGTGTGCGCAAAAATGTGGTCCCACTGAGGCCGCCCAGCCCCACAGTCCCACGTGAAGAGATCAGATCAGATCCGATCCGATCCCCCTTAACGATCCAGAACATGACCGAATACGTGACGCCGAATATCAGCAGCGTGCTGAAGAAATACCAGACGAGTGCCACAAAGAGTCTCCAAGGACCCGGCCATGCCCTTGCCGTGGCAGCAGCAGCTGCGGTAGCAGCAGCAGGGGTCGGCGGCTGTCCTTCCCTGGAGGTGGCCTCCACCAATGGAGGCGGAATCCGCAGCGAGAGTCCAACCTGCGGGGGCAAGGTGCAGCAGTCGCCTTCACCCGGAATTCCAATCATCAAAAAGGAGATACTCAGCTCCCCGGAGCCGCACGAGTTGCAGCACCACCATCGGGAGGCAGCATCGCCTCAGATCTATGCCACGCCTGCCACTCCGCCGAGAGAGCTCTCGCAACCGATCCTCTCTGTGGCCGATGCGGGCTGTGGGGAGCTGTACGAGACCCGGCTGGAGGGCAAGACCATTGGCTGCTTCTCGGTGGGCGGAGAGATGCGACTGTGCCTGCCGCAGTTCCTCAACAATGTCCTGAACGACTTCTCGCTGGAGCAGATCAATCGGATCTTCGATGAACTGGGGATCTACTGCTCCCAGTGCACCCCTGATCAGCTCGTGGAGTTCAAGGCCGCCGCGATTCTGCCCTCCGATGTGAAGGCCAGCGGATTGATAACGCGCACCGATGCGGAGCGTCTCTGTGCCGCATTGCTGCATCGTTCCGATCGCAACAGCTACATCCCCATCGAGAACCTGCCGAAGGGCGCCCTCAGCTTCCACGTGTACCACAAATGTTTTGGCAAATGCGAGGGGATCTGCACACCGGAGATGTACTCCTACCAGAAGCCCACGTGCATCAAGTGCCTCGAGTGCGACGGATGGTTCTCGCCCCAGAAGTTTGTGGGGCATGTGCATCGGAAGTTCGAGAACCAGACCTGCCACTGGGGCTTCGATTCCCGCAACTGGCACGACTACCTTCACGTGGCGCTCGACGTGGAGAATCGCGAAAAGTACCAGATAATCCTCGATCAGCTCAAGGAAGTGGAACTCAAGGAAATGCACAAGGCGCAACTCGAAATGGATCACAAGAAACGAAAGGTACGATTTTTCTATTTTTTTTTTTTTTCGGTAAGAATTTTGGAAACGGATTGACATCCCTAAGCTAAGAAATGGAATTTCCCTATCAATTGAACGGCATGGGGGAAATTATTTTGTATACATAAAAAAGCATTAAATTTAGTTAGGGTTTATTGTGGGATTCCTGAATGAGTTTTATACGAAGAATTCGTGAAGATTATCGAACGTGGAATCTTCCCATTAACAATCTTAAGGGAAATACATTAATTCCTCTTATTTCCAATGCTTGCAATGGTATTTAATAATCGAAATGTTGAAAATTCGCTCTAGAAAGAAATTCCAATCTACTACATACATATATATTTTTGTGAATCAGATCGAATCTCTTCCTCAGGGAAAACAACCTATTATTGTGGAATCCAACAAATCAAAAATTTCCCTAAATAAGAAGAGGGACATATGTATGTACATACATATGTATGTTCTGGAATTTCCCAAATGTCGCATTTATCACGAATATCACATATTTTACTTAGTCTAAGTATCACTTCTGTCTCACTCGCTCTCTTGCACTAGTTGTCCCTCCCCTGTACAATATCTGCAACAAAAATGCGTATGAGAATGTCCCACCCCAAAACCAATCCCACTCCACTCCCATTTACCATCTGAATCTCACTCTCAATCGCAATCGGAAACGCAAAAGCAGCAGCAACAACAATACTCGTTAGGCCAGAGACAGGCGCCGTCAAAAGTCGCTTCACACCTTCGGCTACCGATTGCAGCCGCAGCAGCAGCGCAGCGCCCACTGTGGCCCCATATTTGGCATCGCGGCTTCTGTCCCTGTTGCTGCTGCTGTCTCTGCTTCTGCCTCTGCCTCTGTTGACAGCGATTGATACTTCTTTGCCATTCCTCCATTCGCATTCGCATTCACAATTCTCATTCAATTCGATCTTTTTTAACGACATTTCGTTGACGCCCGCCCGTTAAAAGCTCATAAAATCTATAATACAACAAGTAAAAGCGGCTTTGGCGATATTTTGCCTATGGGATATACATATGTACATATGTATATAGAGTAGTAAATGCTTTAATTGGTATTCAAAGAGGGTGGAACAACACTCGTCTCTTGTATTAAATCGTTCATCCGGTATTCCTGCTTTGCTCTCATATTCCTTCTGGCCAGCTTCTTGCGTAATTCGTTAAACTCTTCTCCCTAAAGGGTATCAGAAATGCTCACTCAGAGCAGCGGGGCAACATTTTAGAATTTATTATAAATTTATATAAAACGTATAATAATTATTATTTTAATGCAGCTGCATTTTATAGCGCACTCTCTCTCTGTCTCTCTCTCCCCCACTCTTGTTTAACAATTTTTTGCTGCTTTTTTTTGGTAGGCCAATGATGGAGTTTTTTTTTACCAGTTTTTTTGTCGTTCTTTTTTGGTTGAATTATTTATTTAAACTACTTAATTTTCTGCTTAAACAGCGCTCGCAAAATATTTCCATACAAAAAACAATAAATAATACAATTTCTGAAATTCTTTTACTGTTTTTTTGTTGCTGCTGCGTGCGCTGCCAAAGCGTCTGCCGGCAGTGGCAGTGGCGTTGGCGACCGTGGCGGCCCGGCCAAAAATCGACGACGACAAGTTGTCTCTGCCGACGTATGTTTGCTGCTGCAGCAGCGCAGTCAGCGACGACAATTGGAGCTTATTTTTAGCTTTTCGCTCAATTTATTGCCTGCCCTGCAGTGTGCACCCCTCCCTCCCCTCCTACGTCCCTGCAGGCCACTGTTTTTGAAGCCTTTCGATTTTTTCCGTATTTTGTGTTCATGTGTGTGTGTGTGTGTGTGTGTTTGTTGGAAATCCGCTTCAAAAAGCTTTAATGTTGAACAAGAATGAAGGGACAGGAGCCTTAGGGTATCGAGGCTTTAGATACCCTCTTGGAGAGCGTAGTGAAGAGAATAATTTATTGTTACATCAATGTTTATGTAGTTTTATTGTTCTCGATTCCTTGACTTATATTCACGAGTGTTTCACCCAAATATGGGACTCTTATCAGGGTCGTAAATACTCCTCATCAATAAAGGGGTACCAAAAATATTCAGCAAATAATAATAATGAGCCAAAGCGAGAGGAGGCGATACGGTGATGTATAGTAGGGCCTGTTGCGGGGAGCGGCGGCACAGCACAGCAACAAAAATAAATCGCAAACCGGTTGCCAACATTGTCTGCCGTCTGCTGCTGCTGCTGGTGCTGCTGTACTTTGGCGGGGACTCTGACTGGGGTCTGGGGTCTGGGGTCTGGGCCCTGCCTTGTCTTGTTATGGGATGTAGTATTTCTGTCTGGCGCTGCGACGCTGGGACGCGGCGTCCCAAAGTCCACTCCATTGCCATTCCATCCATGCCCCCTCCCCATCATACCTGAAAGGTGGATGGGAGAGTAGGGGAATCGTCTCAAAGTCGTTGCGCAGTCGCAGTCGCAGAAAAGAAAAAAAAACAAAACAAACGTCTTGCGGCATTTTTGTTGCGCAAAAGAAGAAAACAACAAGAAGGGGAATTATAGAAGGATGAGGACGGTGGAAGGGGTAGAGCGAACAAACATATATTATATAAAGCAGAAGAAACAACAAAATATAGTCATAACGAGATAAAGAGAGGGAAAGGCAGATTGATCTATGGGTGGGAGAGTCCCGGAATTAATGGGGCTCTCAATTAGTATCGATCGACGGGAATGAAACGAAAAGCAAGCCAAACCCTTTTTGATGCCCTTTAGAGAACTGCCATGGGGTATGACATATACTGCTTACCTCAACAACTATGTAAAGAGAAGGGTATCTTTTAGTCGTAGCCTAAAGAACTGCTAGCAGAACAAAAATTTTTGAGAGAGCCAAAGATATCGGGAGTGGATCAGAGAGGGACGGAAAAAGAGCGTCGCACGGGCACTGCATGCAAAAACAAAAATGCCAATGAACGTGATAGACGACGACTTTGACGTTGACGTTGGCGCTGGCGTTGACTTTTGCGCTGCATTGAGCTCCGCTGGCGCCAGCTGCTTGCAGGCTGCTGCTGCTGCTGCTGCTCGAAATGTGCCAAAGAGGAGACAAAAACAAGAAGCAGAAGGAGAGGGAGAGCTAAAGGTAAAGGTAAAGGTAAAAATAAAAAAAGACAAATGAGCAAATGAATTTCTGCTGCTCCATTCATTGGTGCCCTTGGCAGAGCGCGTGACTAATAAGATCGCCAGCTGCGCTGCTCACTTTCGCTGCTTTCCCCTCTGCCACTGACTCGTGGCACTATGCTCTCTCGCCTGTCCGTTCCCTCTCTCTGGGGATCTATCACTTACATAATCTGCCCCAAAATGGACTTTGTCACTCTATTTCCAGAATTCAAGTCGCAAAATTTTTGGAATTTCATGTTTTTAAATTTCAGTTTTTTCGTTTCTTTTTTTTGTTTTTGGTGTAGCTTTGTTTTGGCAACAACAGGTTTTTATTTTGTGTTTTGATTGGATCTGTTATGGGTATACTCTTGATAAAGTGGGTATTGGCGATTATTAATGGATTATCTTTAAATCCATTATCCCCTGAGTCCCAATCTTTAATCTTCAATTGCTATCTAGGGAAACACAATTTTTATGAAATTTCATTAGAATTTGATAATTTTGAGAATTTTTCCAATCTCCTCCTCCTAAATCTAAAGAGTATCTAAACTTCGTAACTTTTTTATGATATTTTGAACGCTTTAATTTTTTGGTCTTTCGACTCGGTTATCGCTCGTATAAATTTCCAAATTTATGCTAATCTCTTTCAATATACTTTGGCCGTTAGCGTTTTGTGGCTGGTGCTGCCATTCATCGTGTTTTTCTGGTTCGAAACCATTCGGACAGCACGTTTCTGCCGCGCTCAGATCTCTCTCCGATTGACTCCGATAGAGAGCTCTCCTGCTAGTAAAAAGTATTATTCTAAAATTTTCGGCTGCTTATCAACCAATTTGTGGCTCTCGGCTGATAAGCTTTCCGCTCAGTTGGCCACGTTTTGGGGTTTGCAAAAAGACAAAAAAAGCAGCCGAAAAATCAGCCCAAAAATCGAGTCAGAGTTATATGCTGAATTTAGCTCTGTTTCGGTTTTTCGGGCTTTCGTTTTTTTCTAATCTGTAGAACGATTAAAGAAACAGTTCAGAATTGATAAGAGAAGCCATTGTACATGTGGGGGGATTGTAATATTTTATGATCTTTCTTACAGCACCATGTGGGGGGTTTGGAATTCTTCTATAAAATATGGGAAATTATTAGCCTAATTTAATGGTTAATTTCGAATTATGAATGGAATTTCGATTCTAGACAGATCTCTCTATCTGGTCTCTTAGGCTATCAGCTAATTGATGTTTCATGATTAATTAGCTGAGAAAAATGGAAATATCTGGAATCAATTAGACAGAGGACATGGCACGGTCTCTAATATTGTTATACGGTTACGTATACGCATTATTTGCGAAAGAAAGGAACGAAATAAATCTGTCGGGACAATATTTTTCACGGTTTCTATATTGAATTCCGGTTTGTATAGAATATAGAGTATATTTTTACTTTTTCAAACTCTATATATTGCTACATTGTTTGCTATATCTTCTATTTTGTTCCATGTATTCAAATTTATCTAAGAAATTTATATTCTTATGGGGTTATTCCACTGCAATTTGCATATCCCTTATAGGGTTCTTAACCCCAGAGATGATCTTTAGCAATGGGATCTTAAATCAGCAGAAAATAAAAGAATCTTTAACCCTGATGGATATGTGTTATCTTTCCGCCCATCCAGGCAATATATTAACCCTCTGAGGAAGGGGGCTGCTTTTTTCCAGTCTGTCGGACCCCCTCGACATTACTTGATCTACTTCTCCTTTAGCTGCTGCTACCTCATGCCTCTCCCTTCATCTAGTTCTGCTTATCCTACTCCTTCTCTTCTTCTCCCCCTCAAACTTCTCTTGTTTTTCTGTCAGTTGCCGATTTGATAAGCGCGATAAGCAAAAGA